TTTCTCCCTTCTGGCCCTGTCTTGGAAACGTAATAAGAAGGATTATCGTCGTACACCTCATTCTACAACTTCATCCCTGGATATTCACCCTTCAAACTCTTTTTTCGAATGCCTTTCGGTCATTTGACATCATGGACGCTAGGTCTGAACATGAGATTCCCCATTTTCTCCCTTCAGGAGGCGCATATAATATTGGCTTTATGATTCATCCTTTATATTTGTGTGCTGTAGAAAAAAAAAGTGGAGGTCTTATTACTTCCCCCCCACCAAACGAAAAAAAAAACCTATGCACGCAAAATAGATATATATATATACACATATATACACGTGTATATGTATCTATCAGCTGAACATCCTATGCAGTCTTTTTCTTCTTCAACTTTGTTTATCTTTTTATTGCTGTTGTTTTAGAACGTGGCTTTTTTTGTATTCCCTTTCACCACGGCGTGGCCGTACAGAGAGGGTATCAGTAAAAGGGTGACATAAAAAAAAAAGGGGAAAAAAGATACAAATTATATGCATCGACAAACGCGGAGGTTTACAACCGTCGCCGACGCCTCGGATGTGTCGCAGATGGATCCATGGAAGGATGATCGGTGCAGAGATTTTGTGGCCCTCAACACTATCCAGCGACTCCGCTCATACCACGCCGATTCATTGCTACCCGTGGAACCCATAAACTGTGTTCGAGCAAAGAATCTCTTACTGCTGCCCAAGGCAGAGCCTGATGCGACGGCCTGTGATACAACAGAAGGCTGCGCCGTTGATATGGCGCGTATTCTGTTCTTTGGCCCTACATCGTTTGTTTCACAAACATCACCCGGTCGAATGACAGCTTCCCCACATGGTGGCGGTTATAGTGGTAGACGATCCAGTTACATCCCTAGCGAGGAGGCCACAAAAACTGGATCCATTAAAGCAATGGCGGAGGTTGCTCTTGTAGCTGCAGACACCCAGCAACAAAACGGAGCCCATCAAAGTGGTATGCAGAATGGTGCATCCGAGAATGAAACAGTGCCAGGTGACATTGGCTATAATCAACAGGAACACCCTAATGACGCTTTTGAAGCAGGAGCCACTCCGCTAAAGAGACCAGAAGAGGAAAATGCGGTAACTCCAGCACCTCGCCCACCAGAGCGTATGGATCAGCTTATCATTGCTTCTGAGGAATGCATGGAAGGTGATAAAGGGGAGACGAATGAAAATGCCGATACTGTTGAAGTTATTAGGTTTTCCTGCGCCATTGTTGACGCCATTGTGGCGTACTATCAGTCCCTCTTATCTCGTGGTGTCGTTTTGGATCGATTTAACGCCAAGGATCTGGCGTTTTCATGGTGGGTTGTTGGACGGAACATGGACGTGGCAGCATTGAATCATCATACTGGACCAACGCGGCGGGACGCGCTACTGATTCTAGTACGGCATTTTTATTACGAATTGTTGACAGAACAACGACCAAAGAAAGGTCTCCCCTCATCAGACTCTTCCGCCGGTTCATTGCGTAAATCCAAGGAATGTGATGACCACCTGACTCAACAGGAAGAGAAAACAACCTACAATGAAGAGGCGAAGCAGAACCAGCAGCATTCGGAGGCAGCAGGAACAGGGGATGAAGCCCGAAAACGACCACGAAGCCGCCTTGATCCTACTCGCACAAGCCCTCCGCCTGCCAGCAGTCGTCTTCGTCGCAAAGTGCGAACAGATGACGACACTGGCCATGCAGGGAAGGTTGAAGAAAAACAGAATGCAAAAGCTGCTGAGGCCCCTGCCACACCCCCAATGTCAAGCACCCGGGTGAAGCTACCGGTGAAGCAATCGTCGAAAGCAAAGGGATCACATGCCGCTGAAGGGCCCCCAGCAGCGCAATCCACGGCAGAGGTAACAGCGACAGTAACAACACCAAATAAAAATCAGGCCCCTGCGTGCAGTGATGGTGATGTTGATGGCAATGCTAAAGAGATTAGCGAGGCCCCAATTGTTGAAAAACCACATAGATCTGTTCGTACGGTTAATATTGAAGAAGTTTGGCGTCCAATTCGCTCAACACGACGGCGTCTCCCTCCCTCGAAAGACAGCTCGGATTTTATAGAGGCAAATACTACGTTGATGGAGAAGCGGGAAGAATCAACTTCTTTCCTCAATGCCGTGGTGCAACGCATACAGGGACGGATGACAAATGATCCCACCTACGCCGCTCTCCTCACTGCCTTCTCCGCCAACAGGCCAGTTGTGAAGAAGGAGACGGAAACTTCTAGCGGTAGCGTAGAGGAACATGACTGTGGTGGAACAACTGTGTGTGGCATGCACCCAGCGCTGGTGCAGCTGTACCGGTATCACCACGTAGATGCCCCTTCTGCTACTGTCTTACCGTTGGGAATCGTCCAGGAGACATCAGAGGAAGGTAACAAGGAAGGAGGACAGCAGGTGCAATCTATCGACCCAGCGTTGCATTCATCACTTCAAGGTGGAACTCTTCTTTCTTCCAGTTTCACAGAGGCTGCTGCTGCTGCTGTTGTTGCCGTCAAGACGGAAGAAACGGATGATGAGATGCCAACGGCGGCATCTCTGCTGACTTTGCAGATAGGCAGCAAAAATGAAGAAGTTGACACGACAACGCCTGTGCTGCGGCTTCCGTGTCGCTTTTCCGATCTCACATACGCACAGCAGTGCCTCCTGACGTGGGAAGCCTCACTCCTGCTTGACCCGCGACCGCCAGTGGCAACAGGGAAGAGGCAGCTAGCATCGAATGGAACGAAGGGCGATGTGAATGTAGTCGAAAGTCGGGGGCGGCGCTGCTATGACTACTGGAGGAGCTTGTAGGTGGGTGGTAGCCGTGGTTGGTGATGGTGGTGGTCGGATGATTCTTGTCCTCTTACGGTGAGGCTTTGATCGTCTCCCTCTCTAACGCAGTTGCTCTCATCACACTGAACCCTTGTTCTCTTGATACTTGTTTTCCCTCCTGCTTATGATTCATTTTTTTCCCATGACTCGTTTTTGAGGAGGAGGAGGAGGGTGGGGGGAGGGGACTATCGACCTGTGGCAACCACCATCTTGTTCTGGTGGAGGGAACGATGTTAACACTCATCCTGCGGGGAGACACCTACGCATTTCCCGCCGACAGTGGAGTCCGGCACATCGCATGGAATGTGAATACAGACGTTCCCCTCGCTGCACTACCCAACCTTCGGACACTCCAGCAAATCCTGCCCCAACCAATTTCACTCATGGAAGTGTCGCTGTTTCACGTGCAACAGACGGATTGCGACTGTGCAGTGTCTGGGCTCTCCAACCACACGGATGGCGTGTGGGTACCATTAGATCCTGCGCTCTCCCCTGCAGAGTTAGGCCTCCAAAGCGAGAGTCTGATATACCTCTCTAGCGACCCGTTCAACATATTCTCTACGCGACGTGTGCTGCTTCCAGTCGCTCCCTTGACGTGTGAGGGAAGCTGGAATAACAAAAGCCGCGACAAGGATGGTATGGTGGAGACACCCCACTGGATTCCACTCCTCCATGGACTGCTGCGGTGGAAGCTGTGTAGTGCGCCGGCCAAAGATATCACGCTGTGTGGGACAAGCGGACAACAGGCCGTGAAGGTTGGTGAGAACGGCTGGGCCAACGGCCTCGTTAAGCTTTCATTGTCCCTCGGGGAGTTGTTCCTTCTGCAGGACGTGAATGGCACATCGTCTGGTGGGGCTTTGCCCCGAACAGTCTCTTGGTCGGTTTGTCTAAACGCGATCCGGAAGCGGGACGCACAGCGCGTTGCGGCTCTGCATGCACACCATCAAACTTGCAAGGGCGAGAAAGCTGACACCAAGGATGGATACGCTGGTGACGCTAAGACGCGTCAGTTTAGGGAGGTCTCACTCTGCGTGATGTGCGCCCTGTGTGATCGATTGCAGCCTCACTCTGGAGTTAATGATACCAATGGGACGAACCCATTTCCGACTGTTGCTTCGCTGTGCAAACGAGCAACAGCTGCTGGTGCTGCTGATAACACAGTGAAGACCTCTTTATCAGTGGATTCATTCACGGCAGCGAGTGAAAGCAACGAGAAATCGCGGCAGGAGGCTGATAGCATGGTTGTTGACGACTACATTGCATTGAGTGAGGGAGGAGAGCGACAGAAAGAGAGGGAGGATGCACCCACCGCCACGGATGCGGATGTGCAAGCGGGAATATGCGGAAAGCAAACAGACTGTGTTGAGGCTGAAGAGGATGGAGACACGGAGGACGCTGCTATTTCAGTTCCTGGCGCTGGCGCGGTTGGTGTAGATGCCCATTCAGCAGAAGAGGATGAAATCGACGTGAGAGTTCCGCCGAGCGTTCTTATTGGCCTTGCATCCCCAGAGGCTATTGATCAATACATTGACGCTGCGAAGGATGCTTCTGCCGCAGCAGCAGCAACAACCACAGGGACCGCATCGGATGGCACCGGCAGCGTCGGGGAGCTGCGATCACCGCTCCGAGGGTACTTTCTTGAGCCGTACACGGGGTCCTTCTTTGTCGACGGTGCGCTGTCGTGCATGGTTCCACTGCGCTGCCTGAGGGCTGCGCCGCCCTCACTGGGCGCCACGGTGACACTAACAGTGGAGCTCGACGCGAGGCTTCTCAACGTCGTGGTGGACGGCGAGGTGGTGCTGGCGTTTTCTCTTTCCTCCATCACACCAGAGGAAGCCTTTTCGTTGCGTCCTGTGGTACAGCTCTTCTCATGTGGGGCAGTAGTGGATATTCACTGAAACCAGCAGAAGACTGGAGATGCCGATGACGCAGTACACTAGCTCACGGCCGGTGAAGGTGTGGAGCGGGGCGTCGTACCACAGAAGTGGCTCTCATATCGTTATGGGGAAACTTACACGGAGCTGTCAGCATGCTCGTGTGCTCAGGTCAATGCTGTCTTCCCATTGCTGTCTCTTTGCCTGTGTGTTTGGCTGAAAGTTCTTCCTCATCATCCTCGTTTCTTTTCCATTGCGTGCAGCCACATTTAGTATTGACGGAGCCACGCCGACATGTTTACGCTTGCGTGGGGTCTGTACAGCTCTTTGTTTGGGGAGAAGACATACAAAGTCCTTATCATCGGTCTCGAATCATCCGGCAAGACAACACTCATGGAGCAGCTGAAGTGTACTTATATTGAGGGCTGTTCTGCTACAACAGAGAGGGGTGGAAGTGGGGCGGATGCGCTTCCTACACCGGCAGAAGCGACCGTTATGAAGAAGAAGCGCATTCTTCCAACGGTTGGTCTAAACGTGGCTCGAGCTACCCATCGAACGATACCGCCGCAGACGTACAGTAGTTCAAACCGAGGAAGTGTGTGTCGAGATAGTTTTGGCGACGTCAGGGCCTCCGCGTCCATCACGTCGCTGCCACCTGGCACGCCGTCTACGCCATTCACACCGACTGCGACACGACTCGTATTGTGGGACGTGGGCGGCTCTCTGCGTACACTTTGGGCGAACTATTTTGCCCCTTGTCACGGTGTCATCTTTGTTGTTGACAGCACGCTGGGTTTTAGTACAGCTCCTGCTTCTGCTGCTGTTGTTGCTGCTGCACAGTTCAATGGCCAAGCAGACTCCTCTTCTTCGATGACGACGCCGTCATCGCATTCGGTGGCATGCGGTGACAGCAGCGAAAGCCACACACCGTCCCCGCCGTTCAAGATGCCAACACCGTTAGCGTCGCCGCCATTTAATGAGCAGGAGAAGAGGGGGGCCGCACCACCCGGGGTGCTGTTGGAGGAGAATGAGGAGGCGAGGCGAAAAGCTATTCGGGAGGCGCACGCACAGAATGCAGCTGTGCTGCGCGAAGTGTTTTCCCACCCACTATTGATAGACGCGCCGCTTCTTATCCTATCGAACAAGACAGATGAGATGCATCATTGCTCCCTCGCAGATCTTCAGGAAGCGCTTGGACTTGTGCAAATGGCCCTCATGCAGGAGGTATACAAGACTGACTGCGGTGTGGATTGCTCTTGTGGTGGCAAGCGCCACTCCTGTGCTTCAGACGAATCGGACAATCTTGGTGGTTCCACGTCAAATAGGGGTCGCTCGCTTGGTGGCGTTGACGCTACAGGAACGAGTGGTATTGGAAACAAGATCATCCGGCTTGTGGAGGCGAGCGCGCTCGATGGTACTGGCGTGCGAGAGGCGATGGATTGGCTCGTATTTCAGATGCGGGACAGCAAGCGGGTGACTGTGGATGAGGGCGGATGAGTCGGCTTTGTGGTGTGAAGTGGTGGTTGCGCCGCTACCCATTTTGTTTTTGTTTTTCCTTTTGCGTGGCGAGTGCTATGGATGAGCGGTGGTGGATGATGATGTGCTGCCGCTGCGGGGAAGCAGCGGCGGTGTTTGCTTCGTTGATAAGGCGGTACATCCCTTTGTGTACTCACTATATTCGTATGCATTTTCGTGCGGCTGTGGGTGGAGTGGGGGATGGGTTTGTGCTGATCTTCATATACCTATATAGATATATGTGTGCCTGTACATCTGTGACTCCAGTGGATCTTTGTCTCATTCCGCTTGTGCAATTCTTCCCATATGTTTTTGTTTTGTGTGTGTGGGTCCTCGCAAAGCAACGCTGTTGTCACCGAACAAGGAAGTGGAGGAAGAGATATGCTCGGTGGAGGGCATATCCTCTCTGGCGTGGCACGAGGTGCGCCGCACTTTCTGCTACTGCGGCTGCCGTCCGTTTTGTTAGGCATGGCTGCTGGGTACTGCAGCATCCTCCTCCTGTTCGGCCCCCTGCCGTTCGTGTACGGTGTCGTGCAGCTGCTGTTCACTGCAGCGATCGCGTGGGGACTGGCGACGGCCGCCCGTGTAGGAATCGAAAAGGGCACGGCCTTGCTGCAGCGGTGGATGCTTGACGGCCGGGGAATAGGCTCGTCGACGACAGCGATCCATGCGCATGGNGAAAAGGGCACGGCCTTGCTGCAGCGGTGGATGCTTGACGGCCGGGGAATAGGCTCGTCGACGACAGCGATCCATGCGCATGGTGGCGTTAGGGGCACTGGTGATGCGGTGGCTGACGGCGGGGATGCGGAGGAGTTGGACTGAGACGTGTTGGCGGCGGCACCGCTGCAGCGGTGCTCACCACAACAGTGCGAGGCGTGCCGAGGGAAACTCTCTTCGCGACTTCCGCCACACAGAAAGAGAAAGAGAAAACCAAATAATGGCAGAAAGGGTGCCTGTAGGGTGGCGGCGGCGGTGGTGGTGGTGCTGGTGTGTGCGTATGCTGCATGTTGCCACCTTGTGGTTGAGCTTACATCATCGTAGCGAGGCGTGTGACACTATGACTACCGCTTTCTCTTCTTGTTGAAGTTTTATAGCGGCGGAGGGTGGCTAGATTTTAGCATGACATCGTCAATGCACCAACATCAACAACAACAACAACAACAACAACAACAGCAGCAGCAGCAGTATCAGTCCGAGAGTTTGTACTTCTACCAGCCCCCTCACGACGGCAACACAGGCATTGGTTACTACGACCCCAGCGCACTGCAGCAGCAGCAGCAGCAGCAGCAGCCACCTAGCGGCGGGNGCGGCGGGTACCACCAAGCCGGTGCGAGCCAATTCTTTGTTGGCGAGGAGGATACGCACAGCACGCATGACTATCAACAACAATACCATCAGCAACCACAACAGCAGCTTCCATATGTGCACGCGACTAAGATAGGTGTCGGAACACCAACCATCTCTCGGACGACGTCCTGCACATCGCCTAGAAAATTCACCGGGGGTTCAGGTTCCCATAGTATGCACAGCAGTCCCTTTCAATCTAACAACGCCGTGCATATGCCGCCGCTTCCGCCAAGCTCACGTCCATTTGTGCAGATGCCGCCGCCGTCGTCGTCGTCTTCCGTCACGGTGATAACTCCACAGGCCCCGGTATTCCGCGACTATTCGCCACAGCCTCCACAAATGCCGCCTCAGCAACAGCTGCCATATCAGCATGNCAGGCCCCGGTATTCCGCGACTATTCGCCACAGCCTCCACAAATGCCGCCTCAGCAACAGCTGCCATATCAGCATGCTCCCTCGCCTGTAGCGAACCCCTCGCAGCCTCCGCGCACCGGTTTCGTGGCGAATATGTTGAATATCTTGTTTCCAAAGGATGCGTTCAATAATGGCGCGCCACAGGAGTCTGTGCCTATTTATCAGCGGCGCTTCGGTTACCCAGAGGACGACCTCCCGCTACTGGAGGAATTAGGCATATTTCCCCACCAGATCCGCTGTAAGGCCTGGGCGGTGTTGAATCCCTTCAAGGCGATGGCACAAGAGGCGGTGGAGGATATGGACCTCGCTGGTCCAATTGTATTTGCTGTCACCCTCGCCTTCTTGCTGTCCCTGCAGGGAAAAATTCAGTTTAGCACCATTTACGGTCACTCGGTGCTCGGCATCATCTTTATGAAGGTGCTGCTCTCGCTCATGACGGACCGCTGCGTGCCGCTACAGTTTGTGATTAGCGCGCTGGGTTATGGGCTTATCCCTAGCATTGTGCTGGCTGCCTGTCACTCGCTGGTGTACTGGCTGATTGGCTACGTGGGTAAAACAATGCTGCCGCCCGCGTTGCTGATCGTGCTGTGGTCTGCGTTATGTGCGACAGCAATGTTGGTGAACGGTCTTTCGATGGAGCAGCAGCGCTATCTTATTCTGTACCCCATCTTCCTTTTCTACGCCGTCTTTGCAGCGCTGACAATCTTTTAGAGACATCCGCTGCTGCTGCTTATGATGATGGTGGTGGTGATTGTGGTTTTTGTTGTTTGGGGGGAAAGTGAGGTAAAAGGAAATGGGATCAAGTAAGAAAAAAAGAAGAAAAGAGACACGTTGTGTGGTTGCGCATTGAAGTTGGGTGTATGCAATGTATGTGTGTGCGGGTATCGCATACCTGCATACGCACTCATCATCATCATCATCTTCATCATCTCTCTCTCCCTCTCCCTCTCTCTCTGTGTGTGTGGTGCATATTGTGCGGCGTGACGGATCAACTCTCTTCTCTCTTTAGTTGACCTTTTTGTTTGCTTACTGACCCTTCGCCCCACCTCCATTCCTCACCGCCGTACTCTTTGGTGTGTGACGCAACCCTTGCATTCCACGCACATATATATATATATATATATATTCCACGTATATATGCATGCATATGTATGGGGAGCAGGCACGCCCACACACACACACACACATATGCAGACGCCGATACACATATATAACTGTAGGTGCTGAGGCGTGCGACTATCACCTGAAATGTTGTGCAGAAGTGAATCAGTAGACGCCAAACGAAAATAGCATACCTGGGCTGCATTTTCCTCATACTCTGCCATTCCTGCTGTTGCTGTTTTTTTGTTGTTGCTTCGAGCTGTTTCTTTCCTCATGCCTCTTTCATATCTGTTTCGTGGTGGCGCATGTTCTGTGCCCTCGTGTACTCACCTACACACACACACACACACATTCACACACATCTGCTGCAGGACTAAATAATCATTAGCGTGCTTACACACAAGCACACACATAGAGCGAGAGTGTGGGCATAATTGAGGCTACATCTCCACCCATAGAAGCAACAATCAGCATACAAGCACATACACACACGCCAAGGCACGTGCTATATTCGCCTTGCGCAGAGAGAGAGAGAGAGGAGAGGACACCATCTTTCCCTTTGTAAACATAGCGACGCGTATAGAGATTGGAAGGGTCACACACACACGAAAGCAGAAGACAGTGGTTGCCATTATTGCCTCTCGCATTTTTTGCCGGCGCCGTACAGAAAATCAATACAGGCACGTGATTCGTTTCTTGTCTTGTTTTTAGAATTATTTTCATCGTTGCCCTCTCCCTGCAGTGACAAATCGACATGGAGACTGATTCACTGCTTGGCCGCGAGCGGGAGTATGCGGAGGTGCACCGCTTTATTGAGGAGCGCCTGCTGCTGGTGCACTGCAAGGCACTCTTTGTCTTCGGTGCCTGTGGGTGCGGCAAGACGTCCACAATTCTCCGCGTGATGCGCCGCGTGACGCACCGTCCGATGGCATGCGACAAGGCGGTAGGCCGCGCTAGCTGCGGCAGCAGCAGCAGTAACAGTAACAATAGCTCTGGTGGCAACTCCCCCGCAACGACTGCGAAGGGGCGACAGGCAGCGAAGCGGCGGCGTGAGCATGAATCCGAGACTGAAAACAACAACAACGACGGCGCCGCCGCCGCCGCCGCCACCGCTGAAGGCCGGATGTCTGTCGGAAGCGCCGCGCCGCTTCCGAACCCCCTGGTGAAGGGACGCCGTGTGCAGTGCCACTACGTCAACTGCGCGGACATGACCGCGCAGCAGCTGTGTGACGCCGTTGCGTCCAGCGTTCGCGTCGCCCAGCCTCGCCCCGACGCGCACACGCGGTTGTTGTTGGGCCAGATAGAGGCGCTCCCGCAGCAGGT